TGGTCATGTTGTAAGAAGGGACCATTCCCTGGAGAAGGATGTCATGCTTGGTAGGGTGGAGGGTCAACGAAAGAGGGGGAGGCCTTCAACGAGATGGATTGACACAGTGGCTGCGATGATGGGCTCAAGTATAGCAGGGATTGTGGGGCTGGCGCGGGATCGGGCAGTGTTTGTTCCGCTGTGCATGGGGTCGCTATGAGTCGGAAACGACTTGACGGCACTTAACAACAACAATAACATGATGTTATAATCTCATTACTCTGTTACAATTATTTCACTTTTAGAAAACTTATTTTACTTTCAGACCTCTTATATTTCTAACCTACTATTGATTAAAATAACTTTTCTTTAAAACAACTGTCACAAGAAGAGCTACTCATTCTATGGTTCTTGCCCTAGTAGGAGAGGGAAGGAAGAGTTGCTCAAAATATGCTGTTGCTACAAGAGTTCTCAGAGTTTGATAATAGTCACTCATAATATTTGATTTCAATTTCGTTTATGCTAACATCCTCTTGTTCTATGACTTACAAGAGATACTCATGAAGGAGACTGATAAACTTTATAAGTAAATGGTTTAAATCCTAACATATAAAATAAATATGTGTCAATAAAGTATATCTTTTATCTGATATGATTTAAATTTCCACACGAGCTTAGCTTGTAAATAAGGTTGCACTGCTAAAAATATTTAATACACTGTTTGTAATGTACAAATATATTTGTTATATTGTTATTATATAACATTATTTCTTAACATTTTGGTATTTTCACTTGTTTTGAATTGTTTATCTTTGCTTTTATATGTACCTGTGTTTATTTCTAGAATCTTTTATTCTAAAGGAATTTTTTTTGTAACTTCTGCTTAGTTTACTGATGAAAACTTATTCGCTTCAAGTTGACTACCCCTCTATTGAGATATTGTGTAAAATTTAGTTAATTTGATCAATCTTATTAATACATTTTATATATTTCATTGTTAAGAAAGCTAGGAATTTATCTAAAAAATAACTTCTAAATATATTTTTACAATCATTAATATATTTGTATATTAATCTAATAAATATACACATATTTCCATATTTAAATGATCATAAGATTTAAATATCTGAGTATATTTCTTTTAAGAAAGAGCTAGATAATTTGCATAAATTTCTACATTCCTGTTAAGTAGTAATACAAGACAGGAGGACATGAATCTTTAAAGAGTAGAAAAAAATTTAGCAAATCTATAATATTTGTGTATATTTTGGGAGCAAATTTATGAAAGAAATCTCTCAGTTTAATCTATAATTTATTCTACTCCCTTACTTACGTTTTTCATTAATCATAGAAAATAAGCATATATTTGAACTTCCTAATGTGATAAAGGAGCTCTGGTAGCATAATGGCTAAGACACTTGCCAGCTAACCAGACGACTGGCGGTTCAAACCCATCAGCCACTCCTCGGAAGGAAGGTTGGGCAATCCTACTTCCGTAGTGACACTGCCTCGGAAACCCAAGGAGGGGTCGCTATGAGTCGGGTTTGACTCGACGGCACATAACAACAACAACAACAACAATGTGATAAAGAGGGAGCTCTGGTAGCATAGTGGCTAAGGCATTGACTGCTAATCAGAAGGCTGGTGGTTCAAATCCACCAGCCATTCCCCGGAAGGAAGGTTGGGCAATCTACTTCCATAGTGATACTGCCTCAGAAACCCCAAGGAGGGGTTGCTATGTGTCCGGTCTGACTCAAGAGCACATAATAACAACAAAACATGATAAAACTGAGAGGAGTTTTTAATAGGAAGAGAAAATTTAGGTATATATTTGAGTTTTCTATTGTTGTATATTTGGTGAGAGTCCCCCCCCCCTTTAAAGGGAGCTCCGGTAGCATAGTGCCTAAGGCATTTGACTGTTATCAGAAAGCTCGTGGTTCAAACCCACCAGCCACTCTTCGGAAGAAAGGTTTGGAAGGGCAATCAACTTCCATAGTGATACTGCCTCAGAAACCCAAGGTGGGGTTGCTACGAGTCAGGTCTGATTGGATGGCACATAACAAAAAAAACAACTTCTCTTTAAACTATTATCCATTTCCCCTTTGTGTTGCTTTTCAGCTCTGGCATTTTCATAGTTATTTATTACTTATTTAATCTGCTGTATGGCTTAGGATGCTATTATGGGTTGAAAAAATATATGTTGAAGTTTGAAACCCTAGTACCTAGTAGATGTGATCTTATTTGGATTTAAAGTCTTTACAGATATAATCAAATTAAACTGAAGTCATACTGGATTAGGGTAGCTGGATTAGGGTAGCACCTAATCCAATATGACTGGTATCCTTTAAAGAAAAGAAAAGACACATAGACAAACATAGAGGGAAAATACCATATGATGACAAGGGCACATACTGGAGTTATGGATCTATAAGCCAAGAAATACAAAGGATTGTCAGCAATATCAGAAGGTAAGAGAAAGGCATGAGCCAGATTTTCCCCAGAATATTCAGAGAAAATATGTCCATGCCAATGTCTTTATTTCAGACTTCTATCCTTCAAACCTGTGGAAAGAATACATTTCTATTGTTTTAAGCCACTCAGTTTGTGAAGCATACATCACTTAATATCCATGATACATTCTGTCAAACAGGACGTTATGTGATTTAGATTTTTTGCCAACATCATATTATATACTTAGCAAACAGACTTGCCTCAACCATGAATAGCATTCACTGGTTTTCTACCTTCAAGTTGTTTAATAACCTTTTGTTTCACTTCCCAATCAATAATTCTTTACCTTTTGCTACTGCTATTTGCTGAGTTTTGGAGCCATGCTGCACTTTACAGTAATGTTTTTGAAAGAAATTTAACAGAGAAATAAAGCTACAACACTCAAGAGACACAGGACATATGAGATTGGATGTTGCTGCCTACAAGTTAGAGCACATGTTATTATGTGGTAAATTTTGTATTTGTAAATTGGGAAAATTCACATCAAAATAATGAGAGAAAGTTCACAATGGTACAATATAACCAGTAACATAGGTGTTTATTTTAACTACCAACATACATATTACAAGTTATATATGTACTTTATCATTATATACCTAGAAGTACAATAACAGTACATAAGAGACATGAGATACACATGTTTGGTGTGGAAAGTTGCTGTGTTCACTATGGCTGGTTATGTCTGCTATATCCCATTCTCTGAATAGGATTTCTGAACTGTATTATAACCTTATGGGACCACAGACATATATGAGGTCAGACTTTGATCAAAGAGATGTTATACGGCACGTGATTAGAGATGGTTTCAAAATAGTTGAAAAGGAGTCACTGCCCTAATCTGGAAGGTACAAAATTTAGCATATTTGTATGTCAGGGGTCAAAAAATCTTTTTTTTAAAAAAAGCCATATTGTAAAAATTTTAGGCACTGTGGGCCAGGTTATCTGTCTCAACTACTGAAATCTGTCATTATAGCACAAAACAGCCATAGACAATACACAAATGATGAGTGTGAGAGTGTTTTGATCAGCTTAATTTGGAAGAATAGGCATTTAACAGAATTTTGTCCAAGTGTCATAGTTTTCAACCCCATATATAAGAATTATATATATTCTTAATAAGTAGTGGTGATACTTGAAAAGGCTCCTGTTTACTTTAGATGGCTGATTTCTACTGAAATTACAGAGCAACTTATTTTCAGTTTCAACTTTCTTTATATTTCAAAAATAATTTTAAAAAATTAGTGTTTCCTTTTTAATCTATGGGAGCTCTGGTGGTGTAGTGCCTAAAACATTTCACTGCTAAACAGAAGGCTGGCAGTTCAAACCCACCAGCCACAAGATGCAGCAATTTACTTCCATAGTGATACCACCTTGGAAACCCAAGGAGGGGTCATTATGAGTTGGATCTAACACGATGGAGTTTGGTTTTCGGTTTTAATCTACAAAACTGTAAATATTTATGCCGTTGATGTTTATGAGGATTAATATGGCTTTAAATAATTAATTGGCCATTTATTTATTTGTTACTCTATCTAACATCCGTTAAACAATTACTAGAGATATTCACACTACTAAAGGCTAGAAGTACAAAGGTTATGGGAACAAATTTTCTACTGAAAATGTGATGGAAACATGGAGGGTGTACCAATTATTTTTCCCTAGTCAACTGGTGGAAGGCTTGAAAAAGAATGTGAGATCTGAATCAGGTCATTATATTGCAGTAGGAATTTCCCAGGTACTTAGGCAGATGTAGATATGTGGGTAATAGTGCAAGATTTAAACAAGCTTGACTTGTCCAGAAATAGGTGGGAGTTTTAACATATTTAATAATAGGATGCTTAGAGGGTAAAGTATGGAATGAAGCTGAAACTTTAGTTGGGCCTAGGATATGAGTGGCCTTGAATGACAAACTTCAGCCAATAGATTTTGGGTTGAATAGATCTAAATAGATTTAGATCATATTTTCTCTTGAAAAAACACCTTAAACTGAATTAGACAATGTGATAAAGCTAAGAATGACAGGGGATACAATGATCATTTAAGCCAGAGTTCTGTGATTGAGGAATAGTAACTACAAAAGCTTACCCAAGGCATTATATATGTGTATGTGTGTGTGTGTGTGTATATATATACACACACACATACATCATATATATATAATGCATATGTGTATATACATGTATATATATACACACATATATATGTATATATATATATACACACACACACACACATACACACATATGCACACATGCATGTACACTCACACGCACATACACACATTGCTGTTGTTATGTGCTGTCGAGTCAGACCTGACTCATAGCAACCCCTCCTTGGGTTTCTGAGGCAGTATCAGTATGGAAGTAGATTGACCAACCTTCCTTCTGAGGAGTGGCTGGTGGCTGGTGCCTTAGGCACTAGGCTACCAGAGCTCCTATATGTGTGTATATGTATGTCTATATGTGTGTGTGTGTGTGTGTGAGAAAACAAAAAATAGAAACTAAAATTACCCTGGATCAGTACTGATCTTGCTCAGTAGGAAAAAAGAAAACATGTAAGACTGTCACTTCAATTTATAATCTATTAACTACCATTTAGCAGTGTAAACATGTTACTGCATTTCAAAGCTGGAATTTCTTGGTCTACAAAATAATTTTAAATGTTTTCTAAATATGAGTATATTTTTATATAAAGAACAGATACAAAATAAATTACTATTATATACATTAAGCAATATATGTTTTTATTCAGAGTTGTTAATAAATGTGGACAGATAGATAATTCATTTATTCACACTCTCTTTAAGAATACATTATTTACCTGATCATGGCTCTCTGCATAAGCAATGTACTTTTCTAGGTAGCGTCTGTTTGTAAGGGTGTGAACTATATTGCCCATATTCCAGTCTTCATCTTTAAATTCTTTAAGTAGCTAGACATAAGAAAGAAAAATAAACTTTTGAATTAATCATTATTTTTCTTAATTCCATTATTTGACATGTAGATACATTCTCTATAGCGAAGATCTTATAACTTTTGCACAAACTGTCCAAATAGCAGTAGTGTTGTTTATGTGTGTTTATGTTGTGCTTTTGGGCAGATGGTTTCATTATTACACTTTAGGATCTTTACAGCCTTTTCTTCTCCTGTAATAACTGCTACCTTCTGACTGATGACCACAGTAAACCATTGAAATACAGTAACTTTCACAAGGTAAAAGTTTACCTTCTATCTTTTGAGGTTTGAATGAAAAACAAATTTTAGCAGGAAGAGTTCCTTGTAACATAATAATTAAAATGGAAATACACATTTCAGATTTTAAAGGCAAATTATCACAAAATAATTATCACCTTAATAAAACATTTTATTTGCTTCCACTTTCTTATATGGTCCTCAATTTTCAATCGGGGTTTAAACCTCTCTAAAAACTTTTTGTTATACTTGACCTAGCCAAGATCTTAGACGATTGTCACTTAGGTAAGTATGTACTGTATGTGTTGACAATGATGGCATATTCTTCCTATGAAATGCTCTCTTTCTTACTCTATCATTTATTTTTATATTTTGTTTTTGTTGCTGTTTTCATACCACTCTTGCAATCTTGCATAATCTCTTACTCTGCCTATTCTATAAAAGCTAGTATTTCATAGGTTTATGTCCTAAATAATAACAATAATAAACCAAACTAAACCAAACCAAACTCACTGCCATGGAGTCAGTCCTGACTCATAGCGACCCCTCCTTGGGTTTCTGAAGCAGTATCACTACGGAAGTAGATTGCCCAACCTTCCTTCTGAGGAGTGGCTGGTGGATTTGAAACACCAGCCTTCTGATTAGCAGTCAAGTGCCTTAGGCCATATGCTACCTCCATGATTTTTGTTCTCTGGAATCCATACCTCCATGTAATCTCTTCCTTTAGTGTATTTGGTAGCTGTGAATATAATGGTTGTTATATGCAGAAACTGTGAGACAATAACTGGGTGATGTTTTAAGATGCTAAGCTTGTTGTAATTTGTTATGCAACAAAAGAAAACTAATTTTGTTTTCATTAGTGAGGATTACCTTTCCTTGGTGACTACCAGCCCTATGGAATCAGATATATTTTGCCATCCCCCATAATTTCAGAAGCCAATTCCTTTGAATAAGTCTATAATTAAACACAAATACCACTCCTTCACATATACACCTCCTACTGTTTCTCCTTCTACTGTTGAAATCCAACTTATATGGATTGAACTGCACCTGCTCAAAATATGTTCTTTATTAAGAACATAATTAAGGTTGTTGTCAACTTGGCTGGGCCTGGTTGAGTGGCTGGACAGATGGATGTAGTTATTCCCCATGGTGAGGTTGGCAATCAAATCCATGGTGGAATCTACTGAAGCAGCTGAATAGCTGCTTTAGAGATGTGTTCTGCTTTCAGTATATAAGAAGTAGCTTTGAGGAAGGTCTCTAGCTTTTGGGCATGCTTGAACTCTGCATGTAGCTAAGTCGTTGTTCAGCAGCCTGCCATGTCCTGTGGATCTTGGGACTTTTTCTGGGCTTGAATTAGTGGCCTGCTGTGTTGTTTGGTGATATCAGGACTGTGCCTTTTTACTTGTCAACCTTGGGTTTGTCAGCCTCACCAGCTAGAAGTTGCCTAAGTGAAGAAAAGCCTCCAGCTCCAGTAGGCTGGGAGCAGGAGGCAGAGCTGAAGCCCAAGGTTGAGGGGCTTTCACCCAGCTCCTAAAGTCTGATTCTTTGAACTCAGACTTCCCGACTCCAAAACTGTAAGAGAATAAACTCCTGCTTGCTAAATCCATCCTATTTGTGGTATTTCTGTTAGAGCATCGCTAGTTAACAAAAACAGTTATAAAGTGGTTAAAACACTTGGCTTCTAACCAAAAGGTTCAATCCCAGAAGACGATTCATGGGAGAATGATACAGCAATTTTTTCCTGTAAAGATTTTACTCTGTCCTATAGTGTCACTATGAGTCAAAATTGACTTGATGGCAAAGGGTATATGGTATAACTGTAATTAGAATCCAATTTTGGAATGGGTTTTCTTTGTTAAGTTAATGAAGTAGTATTGATGTAGGATGTGTCTTAAGTCAATATCTTTTGAGATATAAAAGCAGATTAAGGAAACAAGTAGAAATGAAGGAAGATAAATGCCATGTCACATGAAAATCACCTCAAACCAAACCAAGCCAAACTCACTGCCATCAAGTCATTCCAACTTAGAGAGATCCTCTTTGGGTTTCTGAGGCAGTAAATCTTTATGAAAGTAGATTGCCCAGTCTCCCTTCTGTGAAGTGGCTGGTGGGTTTGAACCACCAACATTCTGGTTAGCAGTCAAATGCCTTAGGCACTATGCCACCAGAGCTTCTTGTGAAAATCACCTGCAACCATTGCCGTGGAGTCGGACCTGACCCATAGTGACCCCTCCTTGGGTTTCTGAGGCAGTATCACTATGGAAGTAGATTGCCCAACCTTCCTTCCGGGGAATGGCTGGTGGATTTGAACCGCCAGCCTTCTGGTTAGCAGTCAAGTGCCTTAGGCACTATGCTACCAGACCTCTCCTAGGTACCTAAAAATAGAAGCTGAAAAGAAACAAAGACCTTCCTGTAGATCTGACAGAGAAAGAAAGCCTTCCTCTAGAACTAGTGCCCTGAATTTGGACTTCTAGCCTCGTAAACAGTGAGGGGGGGTACTTTTTTTTTAAAGCCACACATTTGTGGTGCTTCCATTAAAGCAGTACTAGATAACTAAGACACAAAACTGATACATATTCTATACATGATGACCCATAAATCTCCACACCAGATCATCACTTTAGCTCCATTACTATCTCCAATACGTCTCTACTTACTACTACATATCCAATTATAGTAACTTCTTTCTTCCTTCACTCATCACATTCTTTTCACTCTTCTTCTCCCTCTTTTTCTCCTTTTATATCTTCCACTTCTCTAATTCTATTGTTGCCCTCCTCCCATGCTTCCTATTTCTATAAATTGGAGAAGTCTCTTATCTAATTGAGTGAATCATTAGCATACATGGGAGACCGACACGTTCTGATATTATACCAGCAGAAATAGTACTAGCTTGCACTGAAATGGAGAGAAAGAAGGTAAAAAGAAAGAAGGCGGTCAGACTCTCAAAATTCTACAAGGAAAAAACCATGATGCACAGGGCAGGACCCTGAGCCATAGAGGGTTATTTGCCGGTCTTGCAACCCAAAGCTGTTTGTTTTGCAGGGTTTGAAAATAGATTAGGATGGTGACTCCTTTTTCTCCATTTACTTCTCTTTATAAAGGATTGTCTACAACTGGGACCTATGCCTGTCCCATCATTATATTTTGGGTATAAATAAGGTGTTTTCCGGATTGATAGGTCCTTTAAAAAAAAAAAAAAAAACATTGCCATTGAGTCAATTACAACTCACAGCGAACCCCATTGGGTTTCTGAGGTGATACAATTTTATGGCAGTAGATTGCTCAGTCTTGCACAGGTGGAGAGGAATTTTGCCCCAGGATGGATTTGTTCCTACCTGATAAGATTTAGGATTTTTCAGTTGATGATATTATGGAATCTGAGTTGATGCTATAATGGGTTGAGAGTAATGTAGATATTGAAATGAGGTGAATACATTTTGAATGAAGGATAGATATGTACTGCAGGGGCTCAGAGGGCAGGCTGTGTAGATAGAATAACGGTCTCCCAAAAATTGCAACATCCTAATCAAGTGAAACTGCAAATATGCTACCGTTCATGGCTAAAGATACTTTTCACAGATGAGAAGATCCATGTCAAGGATCTTGAGATGATGATACTTATTACCTTGATAATAATACCATGGATTATCTGGATGGGCCCAATGAAATTACAAGGGACCTTTTGAGAGGGAGGCAGGAGTGGCAGATTAAGAAGGGATGAAGATGATACCCTGCTGGCTTTGATGATGGAGGAAAATGTCAATGGCCAAGAAATGCAGGAAGTCTTTATAAGCAAGAAAAGGCCAGGGTACAGCAAGAGCCTCCAGAAAAAAACAAAGCCCTGCTACATCTTGATTTTAGTCCTATAAGACCCATTTCAGAGTTCTGACTTCAAGAACTACAAGATTATAATTTGTGTTTCTTTAGGTCACTAAATTTATGGTAATTAGAAATCATAGTAATTAGAAATTATATTAAGAAGCTAATATACAGACATATGAAAATATGCTCAACTAATTTGAAAATTGTGAAAAAGTAATTCAATGGGACATTTGGGCATCTACTCATAGGCAAAAAAAAAAACAAACAAACAAAAAACACCTCAATGTTAGTCTTAGATCTTACACAAAAATTAATCTAATTTCGATTTAAAATTGAAACTATGAAACTTTTAGTTAAACAAACAAACAAAAACAGAAAAAAAAATATTCAAAATTTAGAAATAGTGAAAGAGTTCTTACACTTGGCACCAAAAGTATGATCTCTAAAAGGCAAATGTGGTAAATTGTCCTTCTTCAAAATTAAAATATTATTTTTTATGAAGCCAATGTGAAGAGGATGAAAAGACAAGCAACAGAATGGGAGCAAATATTTGTCAATGTAGACTACATATCTGACTAAAGACTCCAATATCAAATGCATAAAGAATTCTCAAAACTACACAGTAAAACAAACAAACACACAAATCTAATTAGAAAGTAATCAAATACATAAGCAGATATTTCACTGGAAAGGATATATATATGTGTGTGTGTGTGTGTGTGTGTATATATATATGGCAAATAAAAACATGTTCCATGTCATTCACCAAAAAGATGCTCAACATCGTTAGCCATTTGGGAAATGCACCACAGTGAGATATAACTACACGTATATTAGAATGTCTAACATAGTGACAACCCAAATCATGGTGTGTATACACAAAAACTGTCTCACATACATTGTTGGTGAGAT